CTCAGGCTGGTCTGAAACCCATGAGCTTAGGCAATCCACCCGCTTGGGCCTCCCAGAGTGCTAGGATTCTTAAACATCTACTACGTGATGGATTCTGCACAAGTTGATCACTTGACAACTTGAAAAAAGAACCACAAAATTAATTGTCCCAAAACACCAAGTGTATGTGCAGGAACTTACCATACGTGCCGTGTCCCATAACATATGTTCCACAAACATTGTTCCCCTCCTTCTTGGAGGTCATTTAGAACCCTAGAACTCTGGCACTTTTTGATGTAAGAGGTGGCAGTCTTATTTTTATACATCCGGGTTCTGTCTCACCAGATGAACATGTATCTGTGATTCAAGGACAAGTTTCCTTTTAGCTTTCAGCAACATGCAAAGCCTCACTAGCCTTTCAGAGCACATTATTCTCAACAGCAAATCTGGGCTTCGTGTGAAAAGTATTTAGATATGGCAGGTGTTTTATTGCACTTCGCCAGTTCCTCAAATATCCTTGTTTTATTTTCACAGAAACTCCGAGCTAATTTTTTTTCCTTTTTCTACACTTTGTAGCTTGTGGAAAGGAGCAGGATTTGATAGCCCCAAACAGTTCTAACTGCTAGGATCTAAGAAGGGGCAAGTTGGGACGGTGCAGGAATTGGGCGAGTAACAGGAACAGCCCTCCCCAAGGAGCACGGTCCTCTACCCCATGCTCGAACTCCGTCCTCCGTGGAACACGGACAGCCACCCATTCTCAAGGCTTACAGTTTCTTTATTGTGCTAACTCTGCCGCCTCAGATCACAGGGCTCACACGCTGAACAGGTCAGTCCAGACCCCTGCCCACCCGGCCCCGCGAGGCCCTCTGCTTTGGCTGGGGACACCAGGCCTCCCACCTTCGCCACTCTAGGACACTGATTCCGCTTCCTCTTGCTTCCCTCAACCCCTGGCCCTGGGCTTCAGGGTTGCGAAGAAGTTTCCAGACCGACTTCCTTTGCCCACCTCCTCCCTCTTTGGGGAGGAGGCTCTGCCTCCCTATGCATTTCTCCAGGAAAATGCCTTCAACCCCCAGCCTCCGGGCGGCGGGGGACGAGCGAGGTCCGCACTAGCCCGAACGTGTCCCCAGCTGAGAGCAGAAGGCCCCGCTCCCTCCTCCCTGCCGGGGCGCAGCTAGGCGCGGCACCGGGCGCGCGCTCACACCAAAAGACCGTCCTTGCACTGCACCGGCGCCTGGGCGCAGTCGGCCGGCTCCGCGCTCTTGACCTTGACGTAGACCGGGGAGGGGCCAGCTTCACAGGCGGCGGCGGCGGCTGAGGCGGTGCAGGGCGCCAGGGCCACGTCCTCAGGGCCACTGCAGGGAGGAGGCGCGTACTTTCGGCGCAGGGAGCGGCTGACGTTCTGCGTCGGGTACCCCAAGAGGTGGGTGACGCGGCTGCCGCGCCCGCTGGCCTTGCACCCGGGCGCCACGGCGTCCTCTCTGTGGAAAACAACAGGCGGGCGAGTGAGCGGGGTCCTCCGCGGCGCGGCGTGGGCACGGCCTGGGCAGAGCCGAGGCTCTGGGCGACCCCTCATCACCCGCGCCTCCCTCCACCTGCCCTCATCTCTTTGCCTCCGCACCGACCTACTCTCCTTTCTGCTCCTTCCTGGGCCGGCGTCCCCGCAACTGTTCGGGGAGGCACCAACCCCATTCTCCAGACAGGACTGGTCCACACGGTATCCCGACAGCCGGGGCAGACAGCCGCATCCAGGCGCCCTCCTGTCCCTTTCTGATGTTTTACAGAACCACTGCCTCTAAGTCAGGGAGTCTTGGAGAGCTGCTTTCTCTTCCTTCTTTCGTAACAACTAACCGGACCTGGCGCTCAGGCTTGCGCGCGCTCTCCTCTTTTCTCACTTCCTGCCATCCCCAAGGCACTGCAATCGTTAGCACTACTAGTCCTGTTCTATTTTTTATTTCTAGTTTGCTTCTAGTATAAGTTATTGGCACTATTCTTACTAGTTCTTAAATAAGCTTGTCCGAGTTCTTACCGGTGCAATACAGCGGAAAGGTTAAAAAAAAAACAACATGGGTCCTGCCCTCCAGGAGCTTACAGTCTAGACAGACAGAGGCCAGGGAGGCGCACAGGCAAGAGGGAGCCGGAGGGCAGGGGAGCAGAGGTGAAGACTGGCAAGGAGGAGAGACAGAAAAAGCCATGCGGCGGGTGGCAGGTCTACATGCTGCGGTCCCAGCGCTCCGTGGCGATGGTGGGCAGGGTGGGGTGGGGATCCCAGCCGGTCGGTGGCAGGCAGGGGTGAGGAAGGCGGGGCGCCGCTCCCCTGCCGCACGGCCGCATGCACCATGCATCAGGTTTTACCTGATCTCACTAGCCAAGTCGCAGCAGGCCCCTCCGCCGACCCCGCCGTTGCTGTAGCCGAAGGCACCGCGGGTGGCGCCAGCCCCGGAACCCCCGCAGCACCAGCAGACGAGCCCCCAGATGCCCACCGCCAGGCAGGCCAGCGCGAGCAACGAGCCCAGCACGGCTCCGATGATCATGCCCACACGCCGGGAGTCTGCGAAGAGAATGGGAGGCCGGTCAGATTTCTCCCAGGCTGGCAGGTACCTTTCTGACCAGGATGTGCCAGGACTGGAGTCAGTGGGAAGGAGGGAGAGAAACTCAGGGGGTCTCTACCCCTGGGACACTGGGTGAGGAGGATTTAAGGAGATTCAGGTAAACCCTTTGGGTCTGCACGTTTTCCCCAGGGCTTTCAGCTGCTCTAGGCAGAGGCCTGTATGAGGACTATAGCAGTGCAAAGGCAGAGCCACCTGAGGCTCCAACCCTCCCGCCACCAGGCCCTCAGGGCTGCTGCACCCACCTGAGACCTTCACGTCCACCACACAAACGCTGTAGCCCACTTGGTTGGCCACTGTGCACTGATACAGCCCATCATCGGCCCTGGAGATGTCTTGCAACACCATGTCTCCGTTGTTCAGGACTGAAATTGAAACAGAGGGGCCTGGTCTCTGAGAGCTCCCACCCCAGCCTCAGCCCCTGTGGTCTGGGATATGGGACACCCACTCTGGAAAGAGGGAAGCTGCGTGCATTCTGCATGCACACCAGAGGTGATTCACCTTTCCCTGCTAAGACAGGCAAGGAAAGACCCCTTTTCCAGAAACAAGACAAAAACACCTGAATTCACTCTGTGACCCTAGGAAAATATGTCCCCTCTCTGCGCCTTGGTTTCCTGCTTTGTACCGTGATACAGGGTTAGTTAGACAAGAGTAGGGTGACCAGACATCCCGCTTTTTAACAATTTGTCCTGCGTCCCACTGCGTTTTTAAAAAGTACTGATTTCTGGAAAGAATGCAGGAATGGGCGGGAGAACAGGAAGGGAATATACGGTTTTTGGCTGCCATGTGGCTGTTTCGCCAGAATATGAATTTTATATTATTTTTGTTAATTTTATAATGTTAAACTGTAATAATAACAAATAATTGTTGAGAAGTGATTATCGAGAACTGCTTATCAAAGTTTGCATTGTGGTCAGGCCCTGCCCTGCCCCGTCCCCCCCTCCATGTTGTCCTGATTTACCAATGTTAAAATCTGGTCACCCTAGACAAGAAGAACTCTAGGTCCCATTTAGCTGTTATTCTGTTTGACTGAATGTTATTCAGCTTTTCGTTTTGTTTTTTTTTTTTTTTCCAGTTTTGGCCGGGGCTGGGTTTGAACCCACCACCTCCGACATATGGAGCCGGCGCCCTACCCTTTTGAGCCACAGGCACCGCCCTATTCAGCTTTTCTATGTACAAGGAGCTCTGCACGCCTCACCCCATTTAATCCTCACATGCTCCTGAAAGGCAGATATTAGGTGGGTCACTACAAAAGTTTTGAGGCAGACTATGTTAGGGTCCATCATTTCACTTCCAAGAGACACAGACAACAGCATCCTTTCTGATTCACTCGTGGGAGTTTGAACTTACTCAGCTTATCAGCGTTGCTGGGAGGGCTTCATTTGTTTCTGTCCACACAGATTTTACATTGCTTGATTTTTGTGTATCTCTTCATGATGACCTACGTAGTATTCCCTTTTCATATATGAAGAAACCCAGGCCCAGCGAGGGGAAGCCAGGCTCTTTCCCTGTTAACCAGGCTGCTGTTCACTGACTCCCCACTGTTGTCTTCCTTTCTTCCCTCCACAATAGCTACTGGGACAGGCACAGAGGAAGTCTCCTGCAGGGGCTCTGGCTTTAATTAGGTGCCACTGATAACCCAAGGAAGCCCCAGCAAGTCCCAGAGTCCCTGATCTTCCACTTGTCCGCACTCTGCCCTCCTTGGGGCCCCTCTCACCTTGATTCATGGAGCTGTGGAAGGACTCCTGGTAGGAAAGCTCTGAGTGGAAGCTGTTCTGGGAGAGGTAGGAGCTGGCTCTGTAGGGGTAAGTGTGCCCGCTGATCTTGGCCCACTTGTAGGAGAGGGGCGGCGAGCCCCCATTGGCAAAGCACTTTAACACCACATCGTTGCCATATGTCATGTGGCCCTCAGCCCAGCACATGGGCACCGCAGGGCGTGCTGCAAGGAAGCAGGCAATTGTAAGCCAGGGCCCAGCCAAGAGGCAGAGCTAGGCTCAGAGTAGCCAAGTTGCCTGGAGGAGTCTGCCCATACCTTGGACAGTGACAATGACCTTCCTGCTGGCCGTGGTAGTCTTCTTCACCCTGCATTCATAGGTGGCTGTGTCAGATACCTGCAGGTTCATGAGGTTGATGGAGGCATCGTACTGACTGGGGTCCGAGGCTGCAAAGCGGACCCTCTGCTGCAGATGAGGGAGGTTGCCATGATTGACCCTCTTGTTCTGGTAACTTAAGAACTGTGAAGAAGAGAGGAAAACAAGTGGTGAGACAGGCAAGGCTAGGGAGGACCACACAGGTTGGTGCTATGGGCAATTCACTGAGTGTCTCTAAGACTCAGTTTTCTCTGTGGAAACATGGGAGTGATGGTGCCCATTTTTATAGAATGGGTGAGATCAGGCAAGGTCAACCACTTTGGAAAGTATAAGGCCAAGCTGGGAACTTTCCGAGGGGCGGTACCTCATCTCCCCTTTGGAATGGGGTGTGAGGAGGTAGACCGACGGCTGGCTTGATTCACAATCACAGGCCCTCATCCCTGTTACCCCATTCTCTAAGAGGCCTTGGGGGAAATTCAAAGTCTTAGTTTCCTTATTTTTATTTTCACTCAGTCTGCCCTCAAGGTGCTGGCTGCCCTAGAGGCCGACACCATGCCCGGTACTCACCACGTTCTCTGGATGTGAGGGCTCCGAGCTGACTTGCATCCACTCGATGTCCAGCCCATTGGGACCATAGTCCTCAGGGTCCAGGATATAGGGGCAGCCCAGCCTCACATTATCACCTTCTGCCAGGTATAAGACCTCCTGGCCATCCCCGTTGATCCGTACAGCGGACAGCAGTGCTGGGAGAAGGCAGGACAGTGGAGAGATGAGGGCAGAGCCAGGCCTTCAGCCCTCTTTCCACCCTTCTCTGTCTCAGGGCCAGTGGGGCTTCTATAGGGAGGAGGGGCTGCTGCTCTTAGTGTGGGTGTGCTGTAGCCATGCCCGTGTGTACTTGTGTGGCATGTTTATTCATGTGGCAATGTTTGTGCATGTATACAGCCTATGACTGTGTAGGTTTGCATCTGAATACCAAATAGCTGTTACATACGGTTGTGTGTGCACATGACTGCGTGCATGCATATATACGTACATAGGTACACCGTGTACCTCCATTGTAGCTGCTCAGGTGTGCTCTAAGGATACTCATGCATGTGACCATGTAGGCTGTCTACTTACATATTTGCATGATAGTATGGTAAGCTAGTGTGGGGGGGAGGTATGTGTGTGTGAAGGCATGCAGAGCACACAGAGCTGTCAAAACTCTGATGGAAGAGCCCAGCTGGTTAAATGCCACCCATCTGGGCTCAGCCTGGGCCAAGTAACTTGCTCCTGTCTGGAGACAACCAGGTACCATGGCTTCTGGGGTTCCTCTCCAGCCTACGAAGCAGAAGTCTGGTGAGCTGCATGTCTGCGTATGACAGTGTGTGTCCGTGTGGCACTGTGTGGTAGTATGTGACAATGTGCCTGACTGTGGAGGTGTTCCAAATGGCAGTGTGGGTCCATATGTGACAGTGGGCACCCATGACTGGGAGCTCTGTCTGTGTGACTGTAAGTGATGGTGTATGCCTGGTGCGGCCACAGGTATCTATCTGTAAGACAGTGTGAACCTTGCATGACAATGTGTGGCATTGTGGACTATATATCTTTGCCCTTGTGTTTGTGTGGCTTGGGTACAGCCACCCCCACACGCTCCCTGAGTCAGTGCAGCTAGCCCCGGGAGGGGCCGGGATCCCAGGATTGGGGAGCTCAGGACTATGCTTCTCTTCCTCCCTACCCTGGAGCCCCAGGCAAGCCTAGCCCCAACCGGTTGGACCTAGAGAGGGATAAGAAGGGGCTGTACCCAGGGCCACGCCCTGGGCCTCTGCACTGTGCCTCCCAGTCCCCAGCAGCCCTCTTCTCATGCCCCTCACTCAGCCTGGCTCCCTCTCCATTTGCTTTTGTGAGTCAACATGTCCTTTGGGGTCCCAACCCCAGGTCTCAGCAATCATTCTGTTCTGTCCTTCTCTGACTCAGGGCCACGTGCACACTTAGCATCACACACACACAGTAATACACTGTCACAGGCAAACAAGTTGACACACAAACACACTCTTACAAGCTTTCAAAATACAAGTCCATTCCTATGCAGCACCCCCTTACACCCAGATGCAGTCAGGTCAGTACAAACACAGAGGCACATGTACACACAGGTACATATTAATTCAAAAGACACTCCTTCTGCACGCTCGTGTAGTTCCTATCTGTGCGCATTCAAGACCGGACATATCTGCAGAAGCCTGTGGAAGGCCTAGTCCAGCTCTAAAGAGGCCAGCAAGGACCTTTCAGCACCAGCACCTCAGGGACCAAGGAACTCACTCCCTAGGAGCCCTGGCTGGGCCATCAGCCATGCCCTAACCCAGCTAGACTCCAGAGTGACCCAGGGCACATGGGCTGGCAGCTAGGACTCTAACGGGACCAGGTGATGCCTCCTCCAGCCCCAGGCCAGGAGAACAGCAGCTCATTTCTGAGATAAGAATCCTGCTCCATGTGCTGAATCCTGGGGTGGCACAAGGCAAGGTGGGGTGAGGTGGAGCTCAGCTGAGAGCAGAGGCTCCACCCTGGAGAACCACACACATAGGGAGGACTCTGTCCCCACACCAGCGGAGCCAGACAGGCAAGAGGGTAAGTATTGAGGACTTGGGAAGGAGGGACAGGCTGGAAGAAAAGTCCCTGTGCTCTCCTCTAGGCTGAGAGCTTCTTCAGTCATCCCAGGCCAGGGACCCTCACCCAGCTTTTTCCTCCCTTAGATATTTTCCCAACCTCCTCCCAAGGGTTCCAGCCTTTCTGCTCCCCTCCCTCTCCTAGTGTCTCACCTGGCACCGAGGAAGTGCATACATCCAGGGAATGTGAGAGAAGAGAGAGGCTGCAAAGAGGGAAGAAGCCCAGGGGATGAGACAGCTGAGCGGGGAGAGTCACAACAGACTCTTTAAGGAAGAAGACGCCAGGGTTGGCTACCCTCTCTGGCGTGTCACCTGTATAGTAGTGTCTACTCTTGGCTTGTAAATCCTTTCTGAATTTTCAAGCTGCCGCCAGAACTCCTGAGCCTCTGTCCAGAGGTGAGGCAGGGGAAGGGAAGGGAGGGAAGACCAGGTGGCTCCCACAGAGGGGATTGGTGCTGAATGCCCACAGCTCTGAGTCTGCCCACACGTGCTCATGTACACGCACACCTGCAGACACGCACTCTCGCAGAGCGGTCCCAGGTTCCCACAGCACAGCCGGAGCTTCCCATGTGGGCTCTGCCAGGCCAGCAGTCACTGGGCAGAGAACAGGTTTAGCTGTTCTGCCAGAAATGCCATCATTCACACACACACGCACCCCCACATCCACATCCACATTCATACTCACTCAAAGGCTGAAAATGTTCCCCCTTCCCACACTCCTCCCTCACACCCCTTCATCTCAAAATCCAGATTGGTGAGCACGCAGGCACCTGCACACATGTGTGAGCCCCACAGGACACACACACACACCACCCTGTACAGGCTCACCCAGCGAGAGGGTCCCAGCAATATCCAGACCTGGTGGCCTCGGGGCAAGGGTAGGTAGTGCCCTGCCAGGGCCTCTCCAGCCACCTTCAAGGCTCCTCTGAGAGCCCTCATTGCCCCTCTGGCCTCCTATGTGGATCCCTGCCCACTCCCAGCCCTGTACCTGGGCTGAGGCACACTAGCAGAAGATGGAAGGCTCCTCGAACTCCCATGACTCTAGGCTCCTGTTTCCTCTGCCTGGGCTGGGTATCCTGTGGGCTGGTGGTGTGGATGTGAGGGGGCCAGTGGAGGGAGGAGGGCTGAGGGCCCAGACACTGCCCGGGGTGGCAGGAAGGTACAATGAGTGCCCAACTGGGGAGCAGCCAGAGTTATTTCTATGGGAGGGAGGGGGCCTGGTCCCCGCCTTGGGGAGGAGTCCCACAAACCCTAATTAGCAGGGTGACAGGGTGGCCTACCCAGACATTACCCAGCCCTCACCCAAGCTCTTCCCTGTCCCAAGAGTGGCGCAGGGCAGCCAGCGGGACTTGTAATTAGGCACCTGTTAAACTTCACTTCCTCCTGGCCACATCCTCCGAGTGACAATAGTCGCCCCATTTACAGCTTCCACGAGCTCCCCTCACCACTCATTTGCTGCCTCTGTCCCTGGGGGAAGTGAGGAAGAGGAAGGAGAAGCCAGGGTCACAGAGGAAGGGTGGCCACACCTTATAGAGCACTGGCTGATGCCCCCTTCCCTGTGCAGGCTCTAGTATGCAAGTCCCACCTGCCAAGCACCCCTGACCCTCCAGAGCCCCCACCAGGTCAAGACCCATGAGAAAGGGCACAAGGGAAGGAGACACTTTCCCCGTGCTGGGACCTGGGGCTGGAGGGGAAGCCCAGACAGATGAAGGGGACCCAGGACTGACCAGCCCCCCATTCCCATGGGACCTCTGGCCTTTCAAAGGGAGTCAGGTCTCCTGAGCTTCAAGAGGAAGGAAGGAGTGTGTGCAGGAACAGGGTTCCCCTCTGGATGTCCCCTCAGACTCTGGGTCACCCTAGAGTGAAAGGGACACCTTAGAGCCAGGCTGTTACAGGGGACCAAGAGTATGTGGTGTGAGCAAGGGGAGGGATGAGGTGAGGGAGAGATCATGGAAAAGGACAGTGCCAGGACTGGGGAGGGGTGTGCCTGTGTGCATGTCCCCCTTCACAAGGGTATGTGGGGTGGCAGGTGTCTGTGTGCCAGGGAGTCTCTGTGGATGAGGCCAAGCCCCTCTATGTGTACTTCCTTGAGGGGTTACTTGGCGTCCTACTTCTACACACAAGAAAAATGGCCAGGACTTGAATAAATGGGTCCTTGAGACCCAGGACCCTCACCACCTGGCCTGATCATGAAGATGACTAAGCCAGCATGGTCCTGGGCAGACTGGAGCTGGGGCAGGGATGGTTGTGGTGGTCAGGAGAAGGTAGAAGGTCAGCCCTTGTGCCTCCCCTGGACTCTATGGCAGGGCTCAGGTCACAAGTGCCCCTGTTCAATAGTCCAACTTCCTCAAAGAAATCAAAGCTCGTCCCCCACCCCTGACTCAGGGCTCTGAGAGGGGTAGAAGGGGAAGAGTCTTGGGGAGAGCTGTGGGGCTCAGGGATGCCAGAGCCCATCCATTTGGGAAAAATAAGACAGAACAATAAGGAAGCTCAAGGAGTCCACACCTCTCTGGGTCCCAAACCCCTCACCCAAACAATAACAGGCCACTTTAGGGCCAGACAGATGTGCACAATGAGTATCCTTATTTCCTTATTTATTTTTTGGTTTATAGGATCGTCCTGTACCCTCTGGAAAGCAGGGATCATTATCCCTATTTTACAGATGGGGAAACAGGGGTCTGGAGAGATTCAGGGATTCAGCACAGATGCTGCTGCTGGGCTTGGCTACACGGGTCCTGGCATCCTGGCTCTCAGTCCTGAGTGGTGCATAAAAAGAGCTCAGTGACCCTATGGGTTACTAGACCCACTCCTGAGAAAACAGCACGGAAGGTGAGTGGCAGGTGGAGGGGAAAACAGGTGGGACCAGGAAATGGGAGATGGAGAAGAAAGAAGTGAGGTTATGCTTCCATGAGTTATGAAGTGAGGTTATGCTTCTGAGTTTGAGGTCAGATGAGAGTTAAGGTTGGAATTAGCGTTAGAATTATAGCTAGAACTGAGAGTAGGGTTTGTGGCTGGGATTTGTGCTATGCTAAGGAATAGGGTTTGAGTTTCATTTGCAAATATGCTTGGGGATACAGCTAGGGCTGAATCAAAGGCTGGGTTACGATTGATTTAGGATTGGGGTTACAGTTGGGCTAGAAATGAGTTTGCAATTCAAGTTAGAGTAGGCTGTGTTTAGGGTTCAAACAGGGATTAAAGATATGTGAGCAGGGGGACTCAGAGGGATCAAAGATGAGCTTTTATTTCTGATGTATGAAGACCTCACCTTCATCTCTTGGATGCAAGTTTGTCTAGAATTTTCAACCCTTAGCTTAAGGAGAATACCAGTGGCACATGTTGAATGGGGTCCCAGGCCTTTAGGGAGGGATCTGAATGTTGAGACCACTGGACGTTTTTGAGACAACATAGTCCCATAACAAATGGGACCTCTCAAGTCCTGCTCCTCAGCTACAACTCACCTCCTGGTAAAGCTCCAGGGAAGACATTTGGGGGAGGAGACACAAGGAACTGCTAGCATGACCAGAGCTTTAATGCCAAACTGAGCTAGAAAATAGGGGTTCATTGGAGGGAGTCCACTAGGGCTGGGAGGTCCAGTTGTAGAGTCTGGGAGATGGGAGTTGGGGGGAACTGAGGGCCTGTCTACATGAAGAGCATTCACTTTTGAGGGGACCATGAAGAGGTCTCTCAAAGCCTGAAAAGGCAGGGCACCATTGTTGCTCCCCTTGACCCACTGAGGGTTAATTGCCACCTCTGTGTAATTTGGGGCCTATAAAAGAAGCTGTCAGCCTTCCTGCCCTGTGCCCTGAGCCCTGCAGGGTTTGGGGGATTTTGGTGGGGTATTTTTGTTTGTTTGTTTTTGCTTTTGTTTTTGGAGGAAGGGTGTCGGGGTATCAGCTTAGTTGTCACAGCTTAGGTCCAAACCACAGTCCCCTCCTTCTGGGGGCCCCCAGAGTCCTGTTCCCCTCTGGGCCTCATCTTTGGCAGAGGAAGAGGGCCCCCCTCCTAGGAAGCCCACTACCCCAATTCCTTTCTCTCCTCTTTCCACTCCTAGTCTCCACCCCAAACATTCTATTTCCCTGCCCACTTCCTTTACAGGACCCATAAAGGCCAGAGCAGAATCCAGGAAGCTGCTGGGGTTCCTTCTGTGCCCCTAGGGAAAGAAGAAAGAGATTGGGAGAGTGGTTAGTTAAGGGGCAGAGACAGAGACAGAAACACACACAGCATCCAAATGGCCTGTCCAGAGGTCCAGAGAGAGACAGAGGAGGCAGGGCTCCAGACCATGCTCTGGGACACCACACACAAATTTCCAAAGGGGCCCCCTTGCTTTTGCCTGAGATATCCATGACTCTACAGGGGAGAATGGCTCCAGTTTGGGTGATATTTGATTCTGTTCTAAGATTTAAAACAATGAATCAAAGATAGAGGCCTAAAAAGGAGTAAAAAGAGACAGAGGAGGAAGGAAGAGCAGGGCAAGGACCCAGAGAAGCCCAGAGACTGCTTCTGGGCTGGGGTGCAGCCCTCCTCAGCAGCTCTACACAGCCCCTGTAAACCCTGCCCTCTCCTGCCTGGACCTGCCCTCCCAGCCCCTCTCCCCTGATCCCCTCTCTCATCTAGGACTGCAGCTGTGACCTTTCTGAGCTCCCCACACACAGCAAGCAGGTTCCTCCGCCTCCTCTCCCACATACCCATGTCCATCCCTGATCCTCCCTTGCAACACTCAGGGAGGAGCTGCCCTGCAAAGGAGACCTCTGCAGGAAGAGTCTGAGAGCACGAGCTGTGAAAAGCTATGGATAGACAACACCCCAGAAGGCTCAGAGAAGCCAACAGTCACAGAGAGGCCCAGGGCCCATGCACCTGCTGTCTTCCCATCCAGATTCCAGCGAAGATTTGGATTTGGAATTCTGCCAGGTGAGGCCATGGCTGCATGAGGTGGGTGGGGGCTCAGAGGTGGCACAGGTGGTGTGATGGGGGCATGTGGAGTTGTGACAAGGAAAGATTAGGATGAGTAACGGACACACGAGGTCTTTGTATCTTGAGGTCCTTGAGGCAGTATGTGAGGATGTGGGCTGGGTTAGAGAGGAAGCTCAGATCTAGGCTGGTGAGCAAGAGCATTAGACACAGATGAACCAGGGATTCCCTAAGCCCCTGCTCAGGCTTCCCATGGCTCAGTGATTCCTACTGGTCCACTTCAGAAGACAACGGTCCCCTGGGGGGGAGCCTTGATATGCCCCAAACTCTCCCATCGAGCAATGTGCTCATAGCAACCCAGACTCATCAGAGCAAGCTGCAAAAAGTAGTTCCCACCAGTAAAAGCAGTAGCCAAGGCACCTCCATGTCAGCAAAGTACAAGAGCAAAGGGGCCTGACTAGATGACATTGATTGACCTGTTAGGCAAAGAGAAATAGCTTGTAAGGAGTGTGTGAATTCCTGGTGACAGACTTGAGAAAGAATGATGAGATCTTGAAGATAAAAGGTTATCTTCACCCAACCAAGATCAAGCACGTCCTGCAGAGCCTCATTCATTCAACAAACAGCTGAGCTTTGTGCTGGATGGGCCCAGTGGTGAAGGAGTCTCAGCTGCTGCTTTGCAGGGCATTCCACCTGATGGGGAAGGGGTACCTAGGCCCACCCATGGCATGATTAGCTAAGGTCTTATCTGCAAAGCCCCTGACCTGGTGGCAGCAGAGATCGGAAGGATAACTAATGATGTGCAGGAGGAAAGACCAGAGAATATTTTAGCATTTGGGAAATAAGCCAGGTCCCTGTCAGACATGGACTGGGAAGAGTGAAGCCAGGAGTGACAGCCAGTGGTTCTATTTCTGGACTGAGGAAGGATGATCCTTGAAAACTGAACCTTTTGGAACCTTCCACCCAGACCATCAGAGCACTTCCTGGGTCAGAGCAAGGCCCTCAGGATGGATTAGGCAACTCAGAGTGGTCATCCTGGACTGTGTGTCTGTGTGTGGAGAGAGAGACTTTGTGATGAGCTAAACTGCGTATCCAATGGGACTTTGACATGTGAATTTGTAATAATAAAAATTTGCCTTTGCTTTTGCCATCTGAAATCCCCTAACACCTATCCACAAAGGGGAGCTGCAGCCCCCAGGGTGGCCTCTGGCCTGCCTTGCCTGCCCAGGAAGGGGTGTGGGAGCTGGTGTACATCA